GTGTGTGTGTGTGTGTGTGTGTGTGTGTGTGTGTGTGTGTGTGTGAACGATGACAGGATTAAGGAATAAAAAGAGGAGTCTCTCTGAGGCCTGAGGCCAGATCCCTGTAATCAGACCAGCTCCGTTCATTCACTCAGAATAAAAACGGTTCTTCTTCACTGCTTTTTATTCATGAGCTGTGTCGGAGGTGTCATCTCCCATGGCAACTGAAGCCCCACCCCCATCGCCATAAAACAGCATATGAAAGCCATCTGTGCAGACTCTTAATCTCCATCACCCCCCTGCTGGACCTATAGGCTGTGAGGATTTCTGAGCTGCTGGAGATCTGAGGAACAAAGAGAGAATAAAATATTACAACTATTTTCTTTCATCACTGATGGTTAGTGATGTTAGTGTTAAAAACACAACAGAAGAACTTCTTCTTCTTCTTCTTCTTCTTAGTTCAGGTTTAATAAAAGACCTCCTCAGCTCTGTGAGGACACACAAAGAGTCATCTGTAATAATTATAGCTGTTAGATTTCAGGTTTTTGCTCCTAATATAAACACTCAGTCTTATAAGACCTCATTAAGGAGAAGATGTGACACTAAGGCACTGAAAACTGTTTTTAAATGAAATAATCAGTTTTAATTATCAGCTAGGCCCAGTAAATGTCTGGACTCTTTTCTACAACACAATCTTAGCTGAGTGCTCGTGACATCACAGTTTTATAATAAATATTCATCCATTTTTATATCATAAGATTGGAGGGAAAAACCATGCAGCTGTGATGAACAAGGAAAATATTCCCATGTGAAATAACAGGAAGTGATGTCAGAGATGTTAGTCTGTGGAGAAGAACCTGAGTTTCTTTAGATTATTTTAAATATTTTAAGAGATGAAGAAGAGTTATTGTTGTTTCTATAAATAAAGATGGAGTTCATCTGAAAGAGTTCCCCTTTGATGTCACTTCCTGTTTCACTTTGTCTGCGCCAAGTTCAAATGAAAATATGACATTTATGTAACAAAACAGGTAAAATCATGTTTTATGTCACATCTCTTAAATACAAAATGCTTTCTTTGACGTTTTGTATAATGTGTGTCACATGCAGGCACTTTAATGCTTTTAATGCTGCTGGTTTGTGTTTATTATAAATTAATTACATATTTTAGCTCTAATGTTTGAAACAAAACAAGCTATTTGAGGATGCTCCTTGTGATGTCGTGTTTTTGTACTGCAGGAAGCTGTAATGTTAATTTCCCCTAAAACTTAATTATCAGTAATTTAAATATTTAATATTTGTATATTTRAACTGTTCTGACAAGTTTATGAAGGCTAAAAGTATTTCTATATTTTAATTATAGTCAGAATACTTTGACAGTGTTAAAGCCACACTACAAGATTATTTTTACATCATTATTCTTCTAATATTACAACTTTATTCTCATACAACCTTTTTTTGTAATTTTAAAACTTTATTCATTTTACCTTAATCTCATAATTAATCATAACAGGTTCATTTTGTTGATTAGACTAAGAAACAACTGATCAAATCTTATAAATGTTGTCTTGTGCTCCTGCTCTGATCCAACATGAAGACCCATTTTTCCAGTCATTTGGGTTTTATTAAAACAAAAACACAACAATAAATGCATGTTTTTTAACTGCATGGTCTGAAGCTCCCACAGTAATACAGTATAAACATGATAAAACACTGAGTCAGTGCGCAGACAGAAAAAAAGGCAAACTTTCATTTGTCTGAATGTAGATATTAAATCTTTTCATTCCTCATATTTCTATTTGTGATTTGACAGAAATCATAACTGCATTTATTGTAWCTAATAATTTATTTTGTATGTGCTTTTGACATAATAGGCCACAAATAAAAACATTATAAAGGTTAGTGAGTAAAAGCTGATGAAACTGACAGAGTTCATCTTATTAGTGCATTAAAAAGTATAACAGCTGCTCTTTACTGTCGAGTTTTTAACAAACAAATGTTACAAATGCATCAAACACTTAGCAGAGATCATTAAAGATTTTAACAACTAGTATTTTTCAGTACTGTCATTCAAGTTTGAAGTAACGTGTCCAAGAAATAATGTAACAGAAATACAAAGTATTTCAGATCTGGAGCAGAAATCTGTTTTATTTGCTCCTTTTCTGTGGACGACTTCACTTAGTGGAACAACTTTGTTGGAAAAACAGTGAAGAAAGACGAGTTAAAAACTTTGTTTTTGTTTTTCTTCTGAAGAAAAAGTTGTATTTCTTATATTTACACACTATTCTGAAGCATGTTTTAATAATCCTGTCTGATAATGAGCTCAGCCTTCATACATTAGTGTGGTTCATTTTTCCTTATTGGCACTTTACAGAGTCAGTTTTAAAGACTACAGGTTCTAACAGCTCTCATTTTATTAACTTTCATCTATCAGGGTCTATTACTGTACTCTGTACTGTACTCTGTACTGTACTCAGTACTGTACTCTGTAGTGTACTCTGTAGATGAGCAGAGGCTTTCAGGCTTGTCCTTCTCACCCTGCTTGGCTGAGAACAGGAATATCGATCTCTATGGCCGACATCCGTGAGCGGGACGAGTAGCGGCGGCCTGTGTAGCTGGAGGCGTAGCTCTGAGAGGGGGCGTGGCTCTGAGAGGGGGCGTGGCTCTGAGAGGGGGCGTAGCTGCAAGTGCCCCCCACCTCTGACCCGTACCCATCGTGAGCAGAAAGCTGAGACACGTACACCTGAGCAGGAACAGGGGCCATCACGGTGGGCACGTATCCTTGTGCAGGAACAAACGGTTGGGTTTCAATCACCGTAGGAGGGAAGGTCTGCGCTGGCAGCAGCTGAGGAGCGTACACCGGAGAAGGAGGGAAGCCGTTAGCAGTGAGGGGCTGGGCTGATGGAGAAGGAGACATGGAGTCCAGAGGCAACCAGAAGGGTGAAGGCAGCTTCTTACACATACAGTACCACAGAAACATGAGCAGAGCAGCTAGCAGCAGGCCTCCACTGCAGCCCAGGGACACAAACACAGCAAAACCATTGGAGAAGATGTTGTCGTATCTGCTGTTCATCTCCTTGGTGCGGAACAGGAACCAGACCGAGGGAGCCATGGAGACCGCTCCTCCCAGGAACAGGAACATCCCGGCCACCAGGTGACAGCCGGCGCTGTTAACGAGACACCTGGTGGTCTTCATGTCCGGTTCAGGTTTACCTGAGCAGCAGCAGGTTTTACACATTCCAGCTACGCCCAGCAGCAAGGCTAACGAGCTGAAGGACAGGCCTGCTGGGAGACAGAACTGTAGGAGCCTCAGGTCCAACTGGTCCACCTTCCAGTACCACTGAAATACAGGAGTACACAGTTTTACTTTACAGTACCACTGAAATACAGGAGTACACAGTTTTACTTTACAGTACCACTGAAATACAGGAGTACACAGTTTTACCTTCCAGTACCACTGAAATACAGGAGTACACAGTTTTACTTTACAGTACGACTGAAATACAGGAGTACACAGTTTTACTTTACAGTACGACTGAAATACAGGAGTACACAGTTTTACTTTACAGGACCACTGAAATACAGGAGTACACACTGTTACCTTCCAGTACCACTTAAATACAGGAGTACACACTGTTACCTTCCAGTACCACTGAAATACAGGAGTACACACTGTTACCTTCCAGTACCACTGAAATACAGGAGTACACACTGTTACCTTCCAGTACCACTGAAATACAGGAGTACACAC